CCATCTATCGTCAAGCAAACCTCATAAAAAATAACAAAAAGACAGGGCCGCCATTAGAATTCAATTATTTTAACCAGTAACCCAACATTCAATATTAAAATGAAGGAAATTGTACTTGGCTGATTTTTACGAAATGTTTAAGTTATATTTAAGTGACATTCTATATGCAAAGAATCACTTAAATACAATTTAAATATGTTTATCATTTCGTGAAAGTCAACCAAGAAATATTTTTTTTATCCATAAAATAAAGTCTCTTTGAAACTAAATATTCTACGTTCAATATTAAGTAGGATATTTAATTTGGAACTAAATATCCTACTTATCTCACTAATATTATAAAGGCGAAATTTTGTGTGCTCTTTCTGTCTCCTTGAGCTTATTCCACACTAAGTATGTGTAATTTCTTCACGCAGAAACGGCTGGATTATTATTTATGTGTGGGTTATACTACTTAATATCTCTGAGGGAGAACAAATAATAGACAAATTATTATAATTAATATAATTTTATTTACAAATATTACAAAGAACATTAAATTGTATTTAAGTGATTCTTTGCATATAGAATGGCACTTAAATATAACTTAAACATTTCGTAAAAATCAGCCTAAGTACAATTTCCTGCATTTAATATTAAAAGTTGGATTACTGGGAAAAATAATTGAATTCTAATTAGGGCCCTGTCTTTTGTCATTTTTATGAGCTTTACTTGACGAGAATACGGCCTGTTCTCAAAATTATTATAAACTATAAAAATGATATTTTGCGATTAAAATTTCTTTATGTCTGAATGCAAAACAAATTTCAGCACCTTCGTATGATTATTTTACCAATACTGAGCTCTACCTTTACATTTTTAGTTCACATGACACAAAGTGTCGCCATCTAGTGTCGAATATATTTAATTATATTTGAAAGCCGACGCAAAGAGATTTTTCTAGAACTATTTTAATAAATTAGGTGTAAAAATATTTACAAATGAAATGTGATGCCATCCATAACATCAGAGCGTCTATCTGAGTAGTTTTTACACAATAAAACACAACACTTCATCCTTTTCTTCTTAATACTACGAAAATACACCGATTTGCGATTTTTTCAACACATAAGCGCACAGGACGAATGCTGACAGTATACTAACTAAAGCCACGCCCACTATGATGACGTCAGGACCTACTTAGAATCACAGTGCACAGTTGCTTATGCCGTCTCCCCTTTGTATTAGCTTCATGGTTGGGCATCACAGAACTCACGTAGTAGATAATAATGTCAATTATAGTCAGCATAGGTACTTTTAGTAACTTACCATTTCACAATGTATTTTTTTACTCTTTATTAACAGCCCTTAGCAACCACGGAAAGTCCGTTGTGAGGAGAAAAGATGCAAAATAACACGGACACTAGAACGCAGCGATAAAGTTTTATTTAGCTTGAGTGCACGATTTATCTGATTAATAATAACTATGTAGGCTATTAAAACGTCGGCAAGCAGTCAATATCAAAAGAGTGCAACTTCTGTACGTTAGTACTATTATTTATTCTGTGGTGCCGGCAATTTCGTCAGTACTAGATGATGCAATAACATATCAGGTATGACGGGGTGAGCGAGGGGCGGGGTCCGGCGCTAATCCCGCGCGCTTTATGTAAACAAGTTTCGACATGAATTGGTTAGGTACCGAGGTGATCTTACCGAATAATGTTCGGTCGAATATTCGGTTCGGTAAAAGTATTACCAAACTTTCGGCCGAATATTCACATTCGGTGCAATCCATAATCGGCCCATGTCTATTAAAAATATATACTTTCAATATTTGACATGAAATAGGTTCCTTGAGTATTATTGAGTATCATTTTTTATATTGCATGCCTAGCGCAAAGCGCGTAGGTATGTTCTACTAGCACCTAAAAATCAAGATTCCAACGTTTTGTTTTGTCGCATAAAATCGTATCTAACAGTCATATTGAATATATAAATGATATAAAAAGCACATTGTCATAAAGATAAATGATTGTTGAACTTATTAATATTATTTTTTTTAAATCGATTAATTGCTACTTTTACATAAAAAGTGATTTTAGTGGCTTATGGTGTAGATTTATCAAGTCCGCATGGAATGGTAAACACGATAACTTTTGAAAATATCAGTTGTTTAACTCAATCTATTTTTAATCTCTTCGTCTATCATGTGAGAAGCCATGGAATGTAAATGGCAATTTAATTTTGTTTTGTTTAGTTATAATTAATTATTTTCGGCTATGAAAAGTCGATATTTTCGGTGTTTTAGCAGCCTTGTATTAATTTATTTGTAAATAGACTGCGGCAGTCTGATTGCCTCACTCAGTTCAGCGTCAACTGCCGTCGTGAGTGGATACTGTATTGGTTATTTGCAGCGGCTCAAAAAGATCGCTGTACAAATACAAAATATTCCAAAAAATTTCATACATACTTGATTATTATAATAATCAGAGATTTTTATTACAATATTTTAAAAGTACAGAATAAATAATAGTAGTACGTACTAAAAGTAAGTAGTATGTATATATTTAAATATATTTATATTTAAATATGTCTTGGGCTTTATGGAGTTACCTGAATGATGAGCATTCTGAGTCTTGCACTTTTGGATTATCCAAAAATTTTTTTTAAATGAAGTTTACATAAAATTTTGGAAATTTGGAAGTATAATAAAAAAGTTCTTAGTGAAAACTTATTTACGGTATTTAAACCACTTTAAAAAAAATCCCCATAATCATTTTATACATAATTTTTTTAATGCGCTAGGGCATGCACAATTGGATTTACCAATAGCTTTATTCATATTTTACACCTATAGGTATATATAGATATTCTAGACAAATGGAGTGATCCATATGTCTAGATTATCTATGTTCTTGTTTCATATTAATATATAATGTTTTAAGGAGTTTTATGAGGTTGAAAAATGAGCACACAGTTCACAGTGATGGTTAGTGGATGCTGTGGCCTGTAGTCACGTTCACCAATCCTAGATTGAAAACACATATGTGGGACAGATGGTGTTGTGGTTTTTAGGTTGGGTTTTGTTTTTAAACTACGTTTGCTTCGTCCCTTTAATAAAAAAATAAAGCTTTTTTTTACGTGGTAGAGCCATGCTGCAGCTATATTAGTAGTATTGTTGTAGCACGAATGGGTCGGCTCGACCGGGTAAGGACCACGCTCTCACAGAAAACCAGCGTAAAATAGCAGCTCAACGCTGCTGTGTTTCGTATGATGAGTGTAGAGAGAACCGGAGACCCTTTTTACTGGCAAAGAGGCATTCCATCTTAGTCCTCACGGGTGACAACGCATCTGCATCTTGACTCTTTATTGAGGATAGATGTAGATGTTTATGGGTCACAGTAACCACTTACCATCAGGTGGACTGTGTGCTCGTTTGTCACTCTATCCTATATAAAAAAAAAGCTTGAAATACGTGAAGTAAGAACTTTCATAGTACATATAAAAAACTTGTCGTTCACAAACTAAACGTCACCTCATGATCATATTTCGCAATTAATTTTTATATGTCTTGATTAGTTATCATAGTTACACCTCAATTGTAACTATGGCTATAATTTATACATTACAAGCAAATATTATCTTATACCTTACACTACTTTCTACCTTGTCAGGAGAATTTTTTGCATGCCTTAAGCGCGAAGCGCGCATGTATGTTCTGCTAGGGCCTAAAATTTTAACCTGGTTGCGGTCACATCATGGACTTAGTCAGATTAAATTTATTGCTTTTAGGACCGATTTTACAATAATGAGATAAAAGTTATCCATCTATTAAATGAACTGACTTAATATAAAAGTGAAACAGTTGAACTATTTTATTTGTTGACTGTAATCTTTTATTTATGTTGTATTTTAACCTATAAATAAGTTCGAAGGATTATATTTTACTCTAGTCTCAACCTAAAAACGGTTTTATATATAATAAATAATTACATTCATACATCATACATTACATACATCGGGTCACGCCGGTGATCTCCGAGGCAGAGTAAATAAACATAAACATTGTGAATGAAGTGAAAGGTGGCTAGCTGCCTAGCCCAACCATATCCCATTACATAAAATTTAAATATTTTAAAAATGTATTTATTATTTTTATTGCTAGTAAGGTGTTTAATAGAAGCGACAGTAGCCTAATAATTAAGGATAAGGACTGACAAACTAAAAAGTCGAGTTCGAGGATTTAGCTACTGTCGTGAACCATTTCTAGCGCAAGCATTTTAAGCTAAGCTGGATACCGGCAGTATAAGTAGTGTTAACAGTATTAATAGTACGCTTTTAATTAAAAAAAAAACATATTATTAAAGTGGAAAGCTCGTACAGTAGTGTACACAGTACAGTACAGTTGGTAAATGGCTACTGCAGCTCATGGACACCTGCGACTAACTTCTGTACGTGACAGAGCGATGCTGCAGCTATATTAGTAGTATAGTTGTAGCACGAATGGGTCAGCAGTCGGCTCGACCGGGGTAAGACCACATTCACAAAATCCAGCGTAAAATAGCAGCTTAACGCTGCTGTGTTTCGTGTGGTGAGTGTAGAGAACCGGGGACCCATTTTACTGGAATTTTAATTCAAATTCCATCTTAGTCACATCTGCATTTTTATTCTTTATTCAGGATAAATGTAGATGTCTATGGGTCACAGCAACTACTCACCATCAGATGGACTATGTGCATTTTTGTCACCGTATCATATGAAAAAAAAACTTCAAACAAAAATGGCTGAATATAGATACGTCGTCTGAAAAAGAGTTATTCGTCTTAAAATGCCTTACAGTTTGTAACACACTGGTTCTCTATGCTCTTCGAAATACAACTAGTGCTAGCGATAGAAATATGTGTCTACCCACACTAGCGTTTAGGTTAATGTTCTAAAGAAATCCTATCACACAGCAAAAGTCTAGTTTCTGTAGGATGTGTAAACTGATTTTTTTTCACCTGCCTTTTATTTGTTCGCAGGAGCCGTAATACCAAAAAGCTAATCGCGCCAACGAGGCATAACTATATCGAGTACAGGATACCAACTCGACTGCAATTCTCTTCAAGTGTAACCCATGGAGACCATTCCCAACTGTCAGCGAACGTATTTTATCGGCAATCGGTTCACGAAGAAAGTGTTCCCGGGCCTTGTCCCGCACATACAATACCACCTCTGTCGCTCTAACACAAACATGCTATTGAAAATCGAGAACGAACTGCTGCAAAGTCACCGTCAAAGAGAGACGACAGGCATCAAAAAGTTGTACAACTCGTTCTTCGTACTCTTTTAACCTAATCGCCGCATTCCGAAAAACATATCATCCATCATCATTCATCATTCATTCAGTGACTTTTAGTGTAGTGCGGGCGGTATGGCCCGGGTGTAATGGCATTGTATGAACAAGACAGAGACTATACGGAGCTTATTATGCATGACGGTCGCAAGGAAGACCCTTTCACGTGGGAGTCGTCAGTGAGGCTCACTCTTGTGGGGAGAGAGGAAGAACTAGGGATGTATTTGGAAGAGCGAGAGGGCCGGAAGAGGAAGTGGCACCAGGGCGAGGCCGACGGGAAGACCATGCGGCGGGAGGAGAGCGACGAAAAGGAGCCAAGGAAGATGCCACCAAAGAAAGTTATGGGTACGTACTTATCTTTACTTACATGGACCATAGCTCTTTGTTCAATGCTTAGCTGATTAACTAACGTGGGGCGCAGTGACCCAAAAAGAAACTTGACCTCTGATAATAAAGATGTCACTTGAGTTTATTTTGCCAACTCCTGCCAGCCTCGGGTCTGAAGTTCACGCAGATTATTTTCTATTTCATCTTTCCAGCGGTACGGTACCTGGGACGACCGACTGGCCGTCGGCCTTCCAGCACTCCCAAGTACCCTCGTTTCATCATCCCATCCTCTCCCATTCTCTAGACAACGAAGTCTGTTGGTTTGTTCTCTCGCTAACCATCGCTCTTCTTCTAAACCGATTGTGGTAATGGTGTATTTGTGGATGGATGTAGCTGCAGTTGTAGACCGGCTACTCGTAAATGAGTCGCTTCTAGGACCAAGCTTTCTCATTATAATATACCAGTATAGATTATCGGCGAACAGCAATGCAGTATTTTTCATATATACAAAGTCATATAAAAAACCTAAATATTGGGATATGTATAAAATGTGTGATACATATCTTTGTCACACCTTTTTTTATGTTTTATTTAGATCTTTAATTTAAAAATGTTTAATTAATATGTGCTAGCCTTTACCCTACAGATCTAAACCTACAGATCTAAAATAGTGGTATTTGGGTAAGTAGTTCAACCTCAGTTACAGTACATGTAGTACTTTAAGCTCCGTTTTTGGTATTATCGCAAAAACTCAGTTTTTGGTATTATCGAAAAAACTCAGTTTTTGGTATTATCGCAAAAACTCAGTTTTCGGTATTATCGCAAAAACTCAGTTTTTGGTATTACCACAAAAACTCAGTTTTTGGTATTATCGCAAAAACTGTATTTTTTGATATTATCATTTAATCATCAAAAAACATTTACTGTACAGTTAGTTAGGACTAAATATTAGACGCTTGATAATCACTATCTACATTTCCTAAGTAACCAATTCATAAATTAAAATATGAAGATCTGCAACAAAAAGACGTGCATAGCTTCTCTTAATTTAAGATCATAAAATAATCTCTACTAGACATAATAACCTATTTTACTATTTTTTTATAAGTTCTTCTGAGTCGCCATCTTTAAAATTACAACTAATTGGACTCGATGGATGCCCACGACTTTTTCTGTCACCAGGGCGACGCCATTTAAAATGAGGTGTAATAGACGACAGATTTCATAGCGGTGAAGTTAATTTGTTTGAAAAATGTAAAGGTTAATATTTCTTTCTGTACTATTAGTAATATTTTATATTAATTAGATTAAAAATAGATAAACCAAACCATAGACATCCATAAAAGTAGAAAACTTAGAAAAAGGGTTGAAACATGCAAAAAATTAAAGAGCAAACCACTGAGGCATTGTTTTGTGTATTATTAAACTGATAAACTTTTATTTAAAACTAACTCCTCAATTAAATGACATTTTGTAACAACAAACTGCACCTCAGTGTCAACTAGCGACATCTGGTGAGCGGAAAATTATTAGCCCTCATTGACAGTTCACTCTGAATGTTTGTTGCTATAAATGAACCAATAACGTAAAGACGTGACCGTTGCGTATATCAACATAGATCATACACTGAAGTAATGTTACGCTCGGGGAGATGCTTAATATAGTAGGTAATAACTTAATAACTTTTTTTTATAGGATATAATAAAACAGTAAAAGACGACTTCAAAAACTAACAAAATAAAATAATTGCTACATAGTAGTTTCTAAAGTCGGTGTTAAAACTTTAAAAATAGTCGCACTGACATTTTAAAACTTACTGACCTTTGATTTTATATTGTTTTATTATAAATCGTAAGTGTAAATAAAATTGTCACCTGGCTTAATGAACAAGAAATACCCCATAATCCTTTGAGGTCTTGCGAGCCGGTGTAAATTGTGACGTTTATATTATGAGCTTTAAATAAGACTGAATTAAATAAACAGCTTCTGCAACTATCATGTAGAAATTATTTTTTATTTATTTATCAGAAGACGGTTTTTAATTTTTATTAAAACTTTTTTCTTACCCTTTTGAATGTTCTAACAAATGGTCACAAGTTCGAGGTAGGCAACAAGTAAAAGTGAAAATAACCTAATAAAAAAGAATCGTTTAAATCGACTCAGCTGTTTAAATAAAATTGGTGAACATATTAAAAAAAACATACGCGTCACTTATATTTTAAATTTGAAAATTATCTATTCTATATCTATACAAATATCTAATTATTCTGGTGGCTTTACTGATACTACAGATAGATGTCACATGAAGTTAAAGTTGAAGTTAAAACTTGTAATTGTTAGAGTCAGTATAGTTACAGTCTGTCAGGTATTCCAGAGGTGACAACGCATCTTTGCATTATTTATTTGAAGTTGTTTGCAGATATCCATGCGCTACAGTAGCCTGTTACCATCAGATGGACTCTAAGCTCGTTTGTCACTTCAGTTTTATTAATAAAATTAATAGTACTCTAACAATATATTCACTTTTAAGAATAGAAAATATAAGTATCGAATTAACCTCCATAGATTAAAAGAGACTAAATTCTTGACTTCACAGAAAGTTAATCTCTCAGAGACATGAATGTTTAGGTATAATTTTCTGTATTATGTGTACATTATTCTTTGAGACAACTGATAATGAGCAGACAAATTATAAACTTTCATGCAAAAGCAGTGACAAACATCGCGATGCTGCAGATCGCCGCGCGCTCATTTTAAATACATTATCGGCTTTGTGCTCGTGACCTTATGTGCATTGATACTGAAATCTGTTTATGATGTGATATGTCATAGACGGTGCTCTTTGTGATGAGTGAAATTTTGGTGTTAGTGTTTACGATATAAAACAATGTTAATGTTTGCAGTTTGCCAAAATTCAATTCATGTTGCTAATACAATAGCCATTTATGTGTGTTACCAAATCTTTATGCTTTTTAAAAAAAAGGTTTAATTTTAATACTTAAACCTTAAAAGAAAGTATGTCGGAGATTGTCCGTGTAGCGGACACAACTCGCCTCGTGGAAAATTGAAAAATCGGCTCACAGGAAACCCTGGAAATATTTCATGGCCACACACTTAAATTTAAAGTCATTCCTACTCCATTTTGCATCACCCTTTTGCATACAAAGCTGGAGGAGGAGCGAGAAGAGGTGTGAAACCAGTGTTTATACGTGGTAGAGCCATGCTGCAGTTATATTAGTAGTATGGTTGTAGCACGAATTTGTCGGCTCAACCGAGGAAGGACCACGTTCTCACAGAATACCAGCGTAAAATAGCAGCTTAATACTGCTGTGTTTCGTATGGTGAGTGTAGAGAACCGGAGACCTATTATACTGGAAAAGAGGCATTCCATCTTAGTCCTCACGGGTGACAACGCATGTGCATTTTGATTCGTAAACGAGGATAGATGTAGATGTTTATGGGCCACAGCAACCACTTACCATCAGGTGGACTGTGTGCTCGTTTGTCGCCCTATTCTGTAAAACTAACAAAAATGACATCTATGTACATCTATCCTCGATTAAGAATCAAAATGCAGATGCGTTGTCACTTTGAACTAAAATGGAATGCCTCGTTTCCAGTAAAAGGGTCTGAAACACAGCAGCATTAAACTGCTATTTTATGCTGGTATACTGTAACAGCGTGGTCCTTTCACGGTCGAGCCAACCCATTCGTGCTACAAACATAATATAACAGTAGCATGGCTCTGCCACATATAAAATGTTTGCTGTTATATACCTACCAATCCGTCCGCCAAAGGCAGTTATTACAATTATATTCAGTTTGAGAGAAACATTCTTACCCCTGTCTGTTCATGGGCTAATTAGTAAATTTTATGAAAATGAGGTATTGTATGTATATTTGACGCTTATGCTATCCTAGTTCCTAGGGTCCGGTACAATCATTATCGATTCATCTGCCAAGCTTAGCCTGCAGTAGAATTTTGAGGCCAATGATAGAATTAATATTATAATGTAATATCCACGTGGTAGAGCCATGCTGCAGCTATATTAATAGTATAGTTGTAGCACGAATGGGTCGGCTCGACCGAGGAAGGACCACGCTCTCACAGAATACCAGTGTAAAATAGCAGCTTAATGCTGCTGTGTTTCGTATGGTGAGTGTAGAGAACCGGAGACCTATTTTACTGGAAAAGAGGCATTCTATCTTAGTCCTCACGGCTGACAACGCATCTGCATTTAAATTCGCAAACGAGGATAGATGTAGATGTCTATGGGCCACAGCAACCACTTACCATCAGGTGGACTGTGTGCTCATTTGTCACCCTTATTCTATAAAAAAAATCAATACGTATAATAGAATGACGGTTTTTTGGCGCAGTGGCTTAGCAATGAGTACCAGCGCCGAGGGCCGCGGATGCGAATACCGCACGGAACAAGTATTTGTATGGTCTGCCATGTTTGTCCTCGTGCAATTTATGTATGTAAACTGTCCCCGCGATACAAGAGAAAATCCTAGTGTGGAGGTAATGTTTAAAAAAAGAGTCGGTACTTGGTGTGATATAGTTTTACATATTATAAGGACGTAAAATTGTATTTTCCAAAATGTGAACTAGATAAATCGAATTCGATCTGATCGCATTCAGTACAATCCTTCATATACTAAAGATTTTTTTTTAAATCCTTTCCAAATTTAATAAAAAAACCTATAAGATTTTCTCTTCTAATAGAACATAATTTCTATATATACTATTTTATTTAAATATTTACTTTCTTATATAATAAATTAGGTGTTTTATATTTATTTTTTAATTAAAGTAAAAGTAAATTAATTACAAATTGTGTTATAATCACAGAATAAATAATAGCGGACCTCTGTCTGTTGCTACCTGCGTGTAATACCTACAATCGCGAAGCGCCCCCGGGCCAGAACGCAGTCCGGGCTAGCGCGTTCTAGGCGATTGAATGTTAAACTTTTTTAACGCTGTTTACGTAAATAGTTATTATAACTTGAAATAT